CCCCCCCCCAACCCGCCTTGCCTGCGGAGCGCTGGGCGACGGCGAGTTTTTGGGCGGATGGGCGCCAGGGGGCGCTGTGAGGCGGCAGCCGGAACAGGCTGGGCGGGTACGTGGGGGCGGGGACGAGCGCGAGCGCGCCGACAACAGAAGTGGAGCAGAAAATTGGGAGTGAAAGCCCGGGATGTGGATACTGCTGGCGCGAAGAGCGAAAGCTGGCTAGTTCGTCTCCGCCTACGGAAGGAGGAAAAAAGATGGGAAAGTGAGCAGAATGGATCGCAAAAACAAGACGGCAAGAATTGATTGGCTTGCCGAACGCTAGTTCTCCAGATCCAGGCAGCTTGGTTAACATAATGTTAGGTAGTCTTTGCATAATAGAGCATTATATAAAATAATACGGGTTTTTCTATATTGTGCAGGTTAAGGACATTAATTGCTGCATTGTTTGTCTACCTGGGTATTTCAGCCTCGACACCATTCATGCAGCAACTAGTGATCTGAGCAGAGTGTGATGTTGGATTTGGAACAGCGAGACCCTAATTCAGATCTCCTTAGTCACAAAGTTTATTTAATGTTCTTGGGCCAACCTCTCAGCCAAATATACTGTACAAGGCAGTTTCAGCAGAAAATGGAAAGAGGAGACCCAGCCAAAGCAACTTGTACACTACATTTCTTGTGTATATAAATAATGGCATTTTGCCAAATGTGGACTTATGATTTACAGTGGTGCCTCAACTTACAAACTTAATTGGTTCTGGAACTCCAGTCATAACTCAAAATGGTTGTAAGTCGAAGCACCATTTCCCATAGGAATGCATTGAAATGCAATTAATCACCCAGAAAAACCACAACATTGTAAGACTCATTGGAAACGCGATTAATCCATTCCAGCCGAAGGAGGGGAGAAAGCAAACAAACCATGCAAGACCCATCGGAAATGCAAAAAAAGCAAAGCAGAAAGCAAACAAACCCCGCAAGACCCATTGGAAATGGGGGAAAAAAACCAAAAGCAAACAAGCCCTGCAAGACCCATCGGAAATAGGGGGAAAACCCAAAAAGCAAACAAACCCCGCAAGACCCATCGGAAATGGGGAGGAACCCAAAAAGCAAACAAATCCCACAAGAACCATCGGAAATGGGAAATAAAACCCCCAAAAGCAAACGAACCCTGCGAGACCCATTTGAAATGGGGGGGGGCCCATTTGAAACCGGAGGGGGGGACCCAGAAAGCAAACAGTGCAAGACCCATTGGAAATGGGAAAAACAGCAACCAAAAAAAAAACCCTGCAAGACCCATCACAGCATAGAAACATAATCGTACCACCCAGCCCAAAACCACACTGCAAAACCCACTCAGAACAGTTTTTAAAAAGCAGAAAGCAGCACTTTACCTTACCAGACAGTCCCAAACCTCCTCCGATCACACTTGCTCTAACTGCTGGGGTGAAACAGCTATAAAGAAGTTCAAAGAGCTCTTTGCCTACTAACAGTTAGCAATTTGAATTCCCTGCCTTTCTCCCCTGCCTTTTTCTGTTTGTAACTGGAAGCTCCGGCTGCAAGTCAAAGCAAAATTTTGCAGCCAGAGCTGCAAATAACTCGAAATGGTCATTTGTCGGGACATTTGTAAGTTGAGGCACCACTGTACTTGTGAGATCACGGTCATTCTGTCAGGGGAAAAAACCTCACCCTCTAGAGTAGCAGTCCCCAACTTTTTTGGGACCATGGACCGGTTAGGTGGTGTGAGCTCTGTGTGCTGGGGGGCACCCCTGCGCTCGCAGGGGGGGTGTCGCGCTTGCGTGCACGTGTGCGAGTGCAACACGCCCCTTCGTGACCGCAACACGCCCCTTTGTGACTGCAACACGCTCCTCCACAAGTGTGTGCGTGTGTGTGCGTGTGCAGGGGCAGAGAGGGGGGTGTCGCGCTTGCGTGCACGTGTGCAAGTGCAACACGCCCTTTGGTGACCGCAACACACCCCTTTGTGACTCCAACACGCTCCTCCACAAGTCGTGCGTGCGTGCGTGCGTGCGTGCGTGCAGGGGCAGAGATCCTTGTCCCAGTTCAAGGAAGTCCATGGACCAGCACTGGGCCATGGACTGGGGGTTCTGTATCACTGCTCTAGAGCCATGAGAATCCACAGAAATCCCGACTGCCATGCTGTCATCTGTTTTTCAGGGGGGAAATGCAAGGGGAACTGAGGAGAAATTGCAGAAATCGGGAAAATACAATGTGTCATTTTCTTCAGTTACAGATCAAATATTTCATTATTACTAGAAAATAGCATAAAAACATTTTAGTTATCTTTGACTTAACACAGAAGCAAGTTCCAACCCAATGTGGTACATCCTTTCTAAGTCCCTATGCCTACTGCCATTTTGTTTCACTGCTATGAGTCATACTGTAGCATGGAATGAGATTCATGGAGCTTGAAAGTATACTTTTTAAATTCTCACTCAGCCATGGAAACTCACTGGAGGTGTGGGACTGGTAAAACCATTCCTTATATATCTCGCTTACGTTTAAACCCCCATTACGGTCATCAGTTAGTTCTGACTTGATGGCATGTAATAGTAACAGTAAGGATTTTAGTAGGATATATATTTAAGTAAGCCATTCAAAGTGTTGTACACTAAAGACGATACATATTGAGTTGGTTCTTAACAAAGGACATTGCAATTTACTTAATATTTTTTCATCTCTCCAGAAATTTTATATTCACAACAATCATATGCTAAACCAGCAGTCTCCAAACTTTTCAGTGGGAGGGCCTCATCATATATGCTCACATTTTTCAGGAAGATGCATGCACACCTGGCTAGATAAGGCAAGGTGGTCTGGATGTGGCCCGCAGACCGTAGTTTGGAGACCTCTGTGCTAAATAATGTTAACAAGCAGAGACTTTTAATTAGGGTACCAATATATCATGCATTGGCCGCATTCAACATTCTGTAAAGCAAATCAAAAAGTAGAAGTGTACCAAACAAAAAAATTCTAACTGTGAAACCTAACTATTTCAATTAACTGATTCTAACTATGAAACCTATCCTAACTCCCAAACAAAAAAAATTCTAACTATAGACCTTAGATCAGCACCAAATTTGCCACGGATGTAGCAGAAGTCTGCTCTTGCTCTGTGCCAGATTTGGGGACATTTGCACAAAGGGCCTCCTGGGAGATCGTAAAAAGCAGATGGAGTTGGGTGTCATCAGTATACTGATGGTACCAGACCACAAAATTCTGGACAGCCTCTTTCAGGTTTTTCACGTATATGAGAAATTGTATGGGGAATTATGCCACCCTGAGACACTCTACAGGCAAATGGTCAAGGTGTTGAACAGGTGTCCCCCAGCACCACTCCCATTCACAAAGCCACACCACACAAGGGAAAATCCCAGAAGCTGACTCCGTTTTTTCAACAGTTACCCATCTCTCACTCAAACATAAAGCAATTGCCAGAGTTGTTTTCCAACAAGTGTGAATGAGCAGAAGAGGGTATTCTGTAGACCAGGGTCCCCAACCACCAGTCCACAGCCCGTGCTGGTCCTTGAGCTTCGCAGGATGGGGCCACGGAGACAGATCTCCCGCCTCCCCCTTACATGGTGTGGAAGGTGTGGGTGTGGACAGGCATGGTGCACTTGCGGGTGGGTGTGGCACGCTTGTGGGCATGTGCACCCCACAAGCGCACCACACCCATCCATGCATGCATACAAGTGCTCCATGCCCACCAGCAAATATGCCACACGTCATGAGTGCAGGGGTGCCCCCCCAACTTGTCCACAGTTCCAAAACGTTGGAGACCACCACTGTAGACCACCTTCATTCATAAACCAGAGGTTTTTTGAACAATTAAAATAATTTTTACTCCCTCTCCCACCCCATGCTTTTGCCCCTTCTGTTTCTCTGTGTAGCACCAACTAAATTCCTGGCTAAACTCCCAGAAGCCCATGGAACAGAAAATAGAATTTACATTTCTGGAAGGTCTCAGAATCAAACTGACAGAATCACAGAAGCAGAAGTGTAGAATCTCAAAAGTCATTGACTAATATCCAGCCAAAACAGGAAATGCAGTAAGATCCATATATATAGTTTGGAAAAGTTCCTTTTTGACTACATCTCCCATAACTCCCCAGTCAGCATTCATTGCTCAGGATTATCTGTTTGTAGGCAGATCTACAAGGATCAGACATTCTCACAATGATATCATTTACCCATAATCTTCGGTTTACTTACCTATTTGCTGCTCTTACTTATGCCTAGTGTCACTCATTGGCTACTTACATGTATGTTTTGTCTTATGTTTCTGGTTCTGTACAGGCTAGATGCAGTGGCTCCCAACCTTGGATCCCTAGGCGTTCTTGGACTACAGCTCCCAGAAATCCTAGCCAGCACAGCTAATGGTGAAGGCTTCTGGGAGTTTTAGTCGAAGAATATCTGGGGACCCAAGGTTGGGAACCACTAGCTAGAGACTTATATTAAAAAGAGAAAAAAAACCCTCAGAATCTGAGAGACTAAACAGGCACTGGGTGGCTTGTTTAAAATCCAGACAACACCCAGCCAACTGATAATGTAGCAAGCCTAATGATGGTGTAGGAAGGTAATAGAGATCAAGCAGAGAGTAGGGAAGAACAAAACAAAGGAGGGAGCACAGTCTTGGAATATACATAGTCTTTTTTTTTTCTTTTTCTTTAGGAGGAATGCATATTACCAAATGGATGTATTGGCTAAGTACATTACTGTTTAGGGCAGGGGTCTCAAACATGCGGCCCGGGGGCCATTTGCGGCCCCCCAGATGATAGCTTGTGGCCCTCACCTTGCCTGCCCCCCTAAAGCGCCCACACATCCTCTGCTGTCAAGAGTAAAAAAAAAGCCTTGCCTCGCTCGCCAGCTCTCTCCCAAGACAGCACTGTACCTCTTGCACCCTCCATCCAGAACTGCAGCCTGCCAGC